GTGAACTTGTAATAGCTGTAATCTGTAAAAATGTAATCTTATTGTTGAAGTAAAATGTATTTGTGCATTCTTTATAAAAGCAGTAGACGCCACCACGACGTATATTTTATATTTTTTTTTTACCCATTATTACGCATTTACGCATTATTATACTCGTATACACAATAAAACTAGTTACAAATAAACCGTGTTTTTGTTTAAAATCCACCATCATAAAGTTGCCATTCTTTTAATTAATCATGTACACAATTTGAACGAATAAGTAAAATAATAAAAAGCACCGAACTGCCTTATGATAGCTACGCCACTGGTTTCATCAGAAAATCATTTTTTACAGGACTTTGGAATGCCAGTTCGTATCGCATACGACTCGCGTTTTGACAAACTATTAATACCAAATGGTAGCCATATTAATATTGTAGGTAATTTAATTTCTAGGTAATATTTATTTACTATAAATTTATTTAAATTATTCAATGTTATAGTTAATTTGTTTCTTTACCTTCAGGATGTATTTTGAAATACCAATCTGGTTTTCTAGTTAGATTAATATTTACAATCTCGTGTGGAATATTTTTTGCTTTTAAAACAAGTAACGGCCTTTGAGCATAAGGACAATATTTCATAGAGTAAATTGTTAGTATGCCTTCGGTTCTTGGGGGCTCTACAGATCCTAAAAAAAAACAGAAAACATTATTATTTACTTGTATACCAAATGTGGTGTTAATTAAAAGCTTACCTGCTGCCAAGTGCTTGGTGGACATATTGATAACGTTAATGTAATATTTTGTTTGCTTGTTAATTAAAGTTGTTATGAAAACGTTTAAGCTATTTTGCATTTATGACAATGAAATCTAAAACTTTCAAGATAAAGGTATTATTCTTTTATCAAAAGTGAAAGCCGATATATAAATGACCTTGATTCAATATACATATAAATGGTAGATAATGATATTGATGTTGTTTTTCTACAAGTCTACAAGCAAACATTTTATACCTACTCCATTTGTTAACAATGCGAACTGGACCCATGAACTAGAGAGTCAATGGCGTGCGCACTCCATTAAATAATTATGAAAAGATATACATTATATATATGTATATGACAGCATATTACTATAGTTTATAATTTATGTTTATTATTAATACTTACAATTATTAAAAAAGTGTTCAGGTCTCAATGCAGAGATAGTCTACTTATTATTTAGAAGCGTTATATATATTCTAGAACTCGTTCTAATGTACCAGCATCTTACTCTAGTCCAGTGGTCGCCAACATCTCAATGTGTTGAGCTACTTTGTTAATTTTGGAATAAACAGCGAGCTACCCACACGGAAGCCACGTAACGCAACGTAAATGAAATAATCCACAGTTAATTTATCATTATATGTATTTATTTTACTATTTAACTGGTAATACATAATACATAGGTACTAATAATAAACTAATAACAAAATAACTAATATTACTAGTACGTACTTGTTCATAGCTACATCCCTACCTACCAAACGAAGGTTTTTGAAAAATAAACACAAACTTTTATCCAGCCATAACGGCATGTCACGTAAGATTTAAAAATAGTTAATAATAGCAACAAAAAAGTAACGCACTATCATAAACATAAACATTGAAAAATAAAAAAGCACGTTCAATGAGAAGGCTGACTTAATGTTTGCAGTATAATTTGATACAGCCATTCGAATACAATTATCCAAATGTTCATCTGTAAGTAGATTGCGATATTTATTCTTAATAAACTTCATATTGGAAAAGAAGATTCACACAAATAGGTTGAACTAAATAATGCTTTCACTTTCAAGGCAACACGGCATAGAACTGAATATTTGTCTTTACTTACAATAGGCCAGATACATTTGGTACTTGAGACTAACGATTTTAAGGCTAAATCATTTTGAAACCCAATTACTTCCATTTCTACTGCAGCGATGTCTTCGCCAAAGTTCTGCATAACACAAGTTGCAAACTGTTGGATATCAGTTTCCATAAAGGGTGAAACAACAAACTGCGCTACTAAAGCCATTTCGTTGAAATCCTTAAAATGATTTTTGAAGTTATTCTTCAGGGTAGAAACTATTTCTACATGATATTTGCTGTCATAGGGTTCTAATGGATTTTGAGATATTATTTTTTAAAGAATAGGAAAATGCTTGGCATCGCTGTTAATTAGGTTTTGTTCCCAAAACTCCAGCTTTTTGATAAATGCTTTTATATCAGAAATCATTTCCGCTAGTTCTTTGTCTCTCCCCTGAAGCTGCAAATTAAGTTCGTTTAATTTCTCTGTAATGTCCACGAGAAAACCAAAATCTCTAAGCCAGATTGAATTTTCTAGTTCCGGAGTCGGTTCATCGCGTTGTTTGAAAAATTTAACTATGCCAGATAGGACATCATTAAAACGTTTCAGCACCCATCCTCTACTTAACCATCGGACTTCAGAGTGAAGGAGTAGGTCCCCGTATTGACAGTCAACTTCATCGGCCAAGGTTTTGAATAATCTTCTTTGTAACGCTTGAGCTCTAATCTTGTTCACAATTTTTACCACCAGTTTCATACCGTTGTTTAGTTTCAGGAAATTTCCACATAATGCTTGCTGATGGATAATGCAGTGGTAACAGAGAAATTGCTGAAAAGTTTTATCTTTACGACACCAGACCCTTATCACAACCCACCATAGCTGGAGCGCCATCGGTTGTCAAGCCTACCATTTTCGATGTTGGAATTTTCTCGGAAGAAATAATATTTTTTAAATGAGAAAACAACTCCTGTCTAGTAGTGTGTCCTTTCAGTGGAATAAACTTCAAAAGATCTTCTTTAATCGTAAAATCACTAAAAACCATCCTGACGAACACAGCCACACGGTACGATGCTTCAGTTGCAGCCTTATTTTTGTCGACTGTTCTTAAAAATATTGATTGTTTTCCAATTAACTGCTTTTTTAACTGTTTCAGTTTCTCCTTTCTGGCGGCAGAATATAGTGGGAATGATTTTTCAAAATTAGAATGTACAGTTTTATGATGTCTTTCAATATTTCCTTTTTTAGCAACGGCGACCGAAGTATTACATAACAAACACACATTTTTATCTTTAACTTTTGTAAAAAAGTATTGTTCTTCCCATTCCGAATGAAAGTGGTATGTCTTTACTTTCTTACAACTGCTTGCCATAATATTATTTTTTGTTGTTCTCTACTAACCCAACCGCTGGACGTTGGTTACGCGTTACGTTAAAAAAATTCATTTAAATTTTTATCTTATACACCCTGTAATTATGTTTGGGTGCACTTTTGTATATAGGTAAGTACGGTTTAATCGATCTATTTTTGACCCACGAATATGTGGTATAATTTATGACCAATCTTTTTGAAACACCCTCTATAAATAAATAGATTTCACATTTTAATGTTTCAATGTCTTATAAATATTTTTAGCTAAATTATGTTTTGAATTTGATCCCCTGCAATTCTGAAACTCGCTTACTCTGGTATTTTCTTTTCTTCTGATTATACAGTGCTTTTCAGATTAAAGTATCCACCTTAAGAGGAGTATTTACTTGGCTGTAAAGCGGAGCATGCAAGGGTTTCGTAGTACCCCCACTTTTAAAGTTTATTTTTGACTTATTCTGAAAGAAAAAAATATGTGCGTGTAGGTAAAGGATAAATCTATGCTCCTCTGGAGACACTTTTTTAAAATTTGAAACTGTTTTTTCTAAAAAAAAATACAAAGCTCGACTATATTTACCCATTTTCTCAATTTTTTTTAGAAAAAACTAAATTGAATTTTGAAAAAGTGGTTCCAGAGGAGCATAGATCTAACCTTTACCTACACGTACATATTTTTTTCTTTTAAAAATAGTCAAAAATACACTTTAAAAGTGGGGGGTACTACGAAACCCTTACATTGCAAGATTTTTCGTCTGGAAAGTGGCGCCTCTGTTAGATTTTCAAGAAATTAATATTTGTGAATGAAAACAATTTATAATATATTTTACTGATATTTTACGAGGGATGAATAAATTTTACATATTTTACACCTTATTTTTTACGTAATTTATTTCTGTAATACTAAGATTGGTATATATATTATATGCAAGGGTTTCATAGTAGACCAATTTTACGGATTATTTTTTAATTTTACTAAAAGAAATTTTATGTAAGTAAAGGTAAAGGCTTAACCCATACCTCTCTGGAGTCACTTTAAAAATATGAATCAGTCTCTTTTGAAAAAAATCTAAGAAAAGAAACGAAAAGAAATAGAAATGTCAAAAAATGCTAGAAGAGAACCATATATTTAATTTTTGCCTACAGGAGCATTTATTTTTATAACAATAAAAATAGAAATACGTTAAAAGCTTTTTCGTCTAGAGCGTGACACCAACAAATATATATCTTTTTTTCTACTATTTAGTGATAAACAGTACATAAGTGATTTGAATTCATGTTATTTTTTACATAAAGTAATTTCGCTCAATTACATTAAATTAATTTTATCATTTGTATATTAAAAAATATATATCCGAAATTGGAAGATATACACTGAGATATGAATTATAAATATGTTTTTGTTTAATGAATACCTCTTCAAGTCAACAATAATTATTAATTCCAGCATGTTAATATCTCTTCAATCCGTTAAAGTAATGTAAATATTTTTTCTTGCTTTCGCGCATGGCTTTGATCTGTCGCACCCTTTGAGGCGTGCTGCAAGAGAAAATCTTCTAAAGAGTTAACCAATGTCTATCAATGAGAAAAAATGATTGTGACGAGTCACTGCTTTAAAATTTAGAGAAATTTGTAAAAAATCTCCTAAAATCTTTTATTTATTTCTAAAGCCACCCGATATGACATGGACCATAAATTCAGAGCAAAATAAGATTTGGAAATTTATTTGCAAGTAAAAGTTTTTAAATGTGGACATTTTATTGAATTCGAATTTGATTATGTTGCTGCCAGTCTGGATAGAATTAAAAAAAAAAACAAAACACTATGAAAAGAGTTAAAATGACCATATGGAGCTGAAGTGCTGACTGTAGAAGAAGAAATACGGAGTAGAGAAATAACTTTTTGCAAAAAGGACAATACCATTAAGGAGAACCACTATTGGTATTTTCAAATTCAGGGCTAGCTGCACATAACACAAATGGATTTTTGCATTTTGTGCTCTATAGTGCTTTTGGACTTCTGTAGGAATAAAAATGGAGAAAATATCTCATAATGACAGCTTTTAGGAAGAAAAGATACAAAATAAAATTAAAATTTTTTATATGCAATATGCCTTGTCAGAACTTGTTGACAGCGAAGCTAGTAGAGACATGGAAGTACAGGACAGAATACTAAATAATTCGTGAGAAAATTTGTTTAATGTTGAATATTTTTGTTGCTTTAAGAATTACATTTTATTTATTTCTGAAACATGGTAGTAGGCGATCTATTTAAGATATGATTAATGTCTTATTATTATAATACACTATTTTAAATTTAGGATTTTACCAGTGGAAGTGGTAATTGATGATATATAATTATTATTATAACAAATGTTTTAAAAGGCTACACCAATTAGTGGACCACTCTTTTAAGTCCCCAAATAATAATTTCAAGATTTTGATTCGGATATTTTTATTTCACAAAAATAATAAGTCAGTTTTTGTTTTTTATGTAAATCATATCATTTTCAAGACAATAAAACAGAAGAAAAGTCACCGAATACCGATTTCAAAAAGGTCTATTAGTTTTTATAGGAAATGGAAAGAGAAAGAACGCTTTTTAATCAAGTTAAAATTCTTTACTAATTTCACTCTTTCTCTTCGACGATGTCCGGTCTCCTTCTTGTTTAAAATCGATAACTATAAACGGATTAAGGTATTTTGTACCGTTTTAAAAAATTTAAGAAAAGTTTTGAAGAATATTTGTTTTTTTTTTTAATTAGTAAACTTTGACAAACATGTACAATATTCTAAAAGATAAATCACATTACGTGTAGGTATAGGTTAAATCTATGCTCCTCTGGAACCACTTTTTCAAAATTCAATTTAGTTTTTTCTAAAAAAAATTGAGCTTTGTATTTTTTTTAGAAAAAACGATTTCAAATTTTAAAAAAGTGTCTCCAGAGGAGCATAGATTTATTCTTTACCTACACGCACATATTTTTTTCTTTCAGAATGAGTCAAAAATAAACTTTAAAAGTGGGGTACTACGAAACCCTTGCATGCTCCGCTTTACAGTCAAGTACAGTCAATACTCCTTTTAAGAAACAAAAATTTTATTTATTTTTCTAAAATAATATGGATTTTTCTCTAAAATATATGTAGTGGCTCACAAAAAGTTTGCTTTTTATATGTTACTTTTTTCAGAAAATGTTATTCCTGATAAAACTTGGTGTTTAATTAAACCTAAAACTTTATTTATTCAAAAAATTCTGTATCTTAAATATAAATTTGGCTGCACAGTGAACTAGGTAGGTACTTTTCTAGGAACCCAACCCATATTTTTACATATAGGATTAATTTAACAAGATATATATATATAACTCTACATAGTAGTTTTTTAGTTAATACAATTAATATAGATTATTATATCATTTTTAACCTACTTCAAAAAGGAGGAGGTTCTCAATTTGTCTGTATATATTTTTTTTATGTATGTTCAGCGATAATTCTTTAACACAATGTCCGATTTAAATATTTCTTTTTTGCTGAAAACGAGGTACTTCCGGGATGGTTCCATATAAATTTGGTCAAAATCTAATAATTGGGTCTATGAGAAAATCCTCAAACTTTTCATTTTTTATGTATTTTTAGCGATAATTCTTTACCACCTTGTCCGATTTCTATAATTTTTTTCGTTAGTAAGGAGGTACCTCAGGGGTGATCCCATATAAATTTGGTTAAGATGTGGTGATGGCATCTGCGCGATTTTAAAGTCGGTTTTTTAAAATTACTTTTAATACATGTTACGTAAATTAAAAGTTTAATAATTTGGTGTTTTCTTGATGCGTCGTTTTATGATTTTACTTTGTATATATGTTTAAGTACAGATAATTATTATTACTGACAATTTATTTTAAATCATTAAAATAATATTTTGTTGATCCAAAAAAGGCAAACAAAAAAGCCATGTCACATTCAGTGTAATAATAATAATTAGATATATAAATATAGTATATTATGTACCAACAGACTAAACTTTCACTTTCAATCCCGCCTTTTTGTCGTAAAAGACTTCTAAATTTTTACTAGTGACGTCCTTACCGGGTTTGAACTGAATATTTTTGAACAAAAATATGGTACGCCACTGCTTTTTCTAAAAACCAAAATTATCTTTAAAATCCTTATTTATTTTGGAACAAAGTTGGTTTATAGACGTACTTTCGTACGACGCACCCTTTTCGCGTAAGAAAATAAAAACCAGTTTATTGAAACTGCTTTTGATATTTTGTTGAAATTTGGTAGAAACCCACCATGAGTGGAAACACTTTTTTTTGGGGCAAAATTTTATAAAAATATCTAGAGTGATAAGAAACTTATGATAAAATAGTTATTTTTTTCTTAAAACTTTAACACCCAAGGATTCACACCCTTAAGTATCGGCACTCAATTAATAAATACCCTGTATTAATTGATATTACCTTATTCGAACCAATCGTCTATTTTTTCGTTATTTGTATTTATATTTCACAACTCTTTACTCCTAAATGTAATTTAATCTAACTAAACCTATTCACTAAATTAAAATATAAAAATAATGTAAAACCCTCTAAAAAATCGAACTGCGTTATAACAATATCTCGCAATGCACCAAGAAAAACAAATACGATTCTGGTTCCCCTAATTTAGGTAACTCTGACTCACTCAAGGATTTTTCGGTTCCTTTGTCTCAACTACACGCGGTAGAGTTTGGAATACGTATCCCTCGTATCTACATGCAATTGTTAAAATTATGAATGAATGCGGATTTTGTTTAGTCTCGGAAGTAATTTTGTAGTATTTAGGCTCCACCCTTAAGTTGTAATTTTTATACCTACTAAACTACCGTTGCCCCGCAGGTCTTTCAGTTTGTAATGTAAATTTTCCTCTTTTTTGAAGGACTGATTATTACAAAAAACAAAAAAATACGTCGATTAATATTCGAAGGGGGAGATATCGTGCCATATTTAAGTTTGCTGAAAAGGCACCCTTTCACCCCTACTATCATCCCTTCAATTTTTTTAAATGGCTTCCCCCATTTTTTTATCCATTTTTGGATTGTTCTCGTTCAACTGATTTCAAAAATGTATAAAACATGGGGTTTAAAATAATTAGTTTATGATCTACAGGGTTCCATTATTTGAGTGACAAATTTTTACATCTCACCTTACTGACTGCAGCAAAATTGGATTTAGAATACATTATACCTTAATCGTACCGCTAAAAACTTGTTGAAGTTTTTTATGATACATGGCAAAGGTATTGGAGATTTGAAAAATGAATTTAAATTACTTTTATAGTGTATTTTGATACATGTGCACATTGATTTGTTGAGGTTATTTATTTGATTTGAAAATGGTTTGCAGTTTACAAGAAAGAATTGAACTTGTAGGTTTATACTACAAAAATAACAGTTCTGCACGAGCTGCTGTTAGAATTTTCAACGAAACACACCAAGGAGGTCATGCAACTCATAAGTATGTAATTGATCTTATGCATAAATTTACATCAACCGGGTCAGTTGGCAATAAAAAACATAACCGACTGGAACTCGTAAATAACGAAGCAATTGAAGTCGCAGTTTTAGGACAAGTAAGTCTTGAAAATCAACAAGCACAGTCACTGACAACAATAAGCAGAGAAGTAGGTGTTTCATATTCCACAGTTTATCGAATATTACACAAGCATAAGTACCATCCATACAAAATTAAATTGGTTTAAGAGTTGTATGAAGATGATTTTGATAGTCGTCTTGAATTTTGTGAACTATTGAGTCGTCGCTTGACTGACAATCCACATTTGTTGCACAACCTTTGTTTTTCGGATGAATGCACATTTTCAGTTAATGGTTTAGTTAATAGACATAATTGCAGATATTGGGCTGAGAGTGATCCACATGTTGTGCGTGAATACCACACACCGAATCCTCAAAAGTTAAATGTATGGTGTGGTATCCTAGGTGACCACATAGTCGGACCTTTCTTTTTAGACGGAAACTTAAATGGAGAGTCATATCTTGAGTTATTGAGAGAAGTAATTGATCCACGTATTACAACAATAATAGAAAATGATCATAATCTTTCTGAAGATTTGCTTGTCTTTCAACAGGATGGAGCGCCTCCACATTTTGCTTTGCCAGTACGACAATTTTTAAATGAAACTTTCCCCAATCGTTGGATAGGTAGAAGAGGCTCGATGATGGAGTGGCCACCTAGATCACCGGATTTATCACCTCTAGACTTCTTTTTATGGGGTTATTTAAAAACAAAAATTTATGCTACCTAACCAGAATCTTTAGAAGATTTACGACAAAGAATAGAGTATGAATGCCTACATTTAAATGCACACGTGTTCGGTAATGTCAGGGAGGCTTTTCAATATAGGTTATACCATTGTATGGAAGTAAATGGTGGACATTTTGAACAATTTTTATAATAAATTTTGAAAATGAAATATTCGTTTTGTGATTGGAAACGCTTGTGACAAAATCATTAAAATAAAAGTTTTGCACAATTCAATTTTATTTTAATTTAAAATTCTGTAGATCGTAAACTAATTACTTTAATCCCCATGTTTTATACATTTTTGAAATCAGTTAAACGAGAGCAATCCAAAAATGGATAAAAAAATGGGGCAAGCCATTTAAAAAAATTGAAGGGATGATGGTAGGGGTGAAAGGGTGACTTTTTTAGCAAACTCAAATATGGCACGATATCTCCCCCATCGAATATTAATTGACGTATTTTTTTGTTTTTTGTAATAATCAGTCCTTCAAAAGTTACTTAAGGTGGATACTTTTATCTGAAAAGCAGTGTATAAAAATTAGTAAACTATATTTGTATAAACTTATACATGTAATTAGGCCTATAGGCCTGTTTGGGTAAATAAATAAATAAATAAATGACATCACGGTAATAACATTTTATTTGCATATTATTGTAATGTAACATATTACAAATTTACTAAATTTTTTTAAGGTTGAAATAAATAATTTACTAAATTTACATGCTTCTGATTGGAAATCGAGATGGTTTAAAACGGTAACTTCGATAGGAAAATGATATCTTCTCTATACAAGCGGATCATAATAAACATTACTATTACTTAAAACATCTTTTAATTTATAAACCTATACCTCATCAAACAGAGGCATTTCATTGGTAATTTTCCAGGGTCGCAATATTTTCCAAAATCTTTCGCCATCGATGTAAAGTCCTTTGCAGACGGGATGCTGGAGCATCGATTTCCTCCATTTTCGTAGAAGAGGTACGTCAGTATCTTTGAGTGGAAGTTTTCTGCCAAGTTTGCAAGTTATGCATCCCGATCGTTCAGCATAGGGCCAAATCATGTAGTCAACCTAATAAAAACAAAATGCATTATACAATTACTCCATTTCCGGACTATTTGATAGTTCGTGAGAACACTTAGATTAAAGAGACCGAAGATGTTGTCTATTTTAAGTCAAAGTAACCCACCAATTGAAAATCATTGTTGCACGACGCCACCCGAATTGCTCCGATTTCCATTCAGCGATCACCTCCACCTGAGTTTAATCACCATTGACAGCTGTTTTTTGATTTATTTGTTGGTATTTTAGCAATTTAAAGTGTTCTAGTTATTCAATTTCAAGTTCAAAATGTCACGATGTATGAAAAATTGTGTGTACTTATAATACAAGTACTACTGTTATGAATATATTCGTTTTCAGCGGTAAATATTTATTAACGTTTTGACATAAAGCGCCATGATTCTCTGGGCTGAATACTTCAGATCCGCATTAAGGGGTTTCAATAAATATTAAGAATCAGAAATCAGATTTCATATTACTTACATAAATTTACAAAAGGGTAAAATTTTGAACATTTAATTTAAATAAATAGTAAATAGGCATTATTGCTAACGAAATTTTGTATTTAAAAAGTAGTTTTATAAGAATGTTTTCTAAAGATAGTTTTTAGCCCTTTTTGGTAGATAAATAAGAGGTAAAGAATCATAGTTGCTAGCTAAATTTTATTTTTATAAGGTATTTTTATAAGAATATTAGATGAAATACAGGATGACCTACTTAAAATTTCAAGGTTCATCTTATTTGCGGTTAAATCGAAAGTGACATTGAATTTTCAGTCTTAAAACAAAGTAATCTAGTATAAGCAAAAAAAAAATACTAAAGTTACAGGAGTTAGGTCCGATTCCACCGTTGTGTTAAACGGAGATTAAAATGACAGTGTTAATGTAAAAATGTCATTTTAAACTTCGTTTAACACAACGGTGGAATCGACCCTTAGTCACGTTAATAAAATGTTACATTACAAACCCCTAAACAACTCGAACATAATTTTCGTTCACTAAAAAAAATCCAAAATTTAGCAATATTTATTTATTATACAATCGAATGCGATTTCAAAGATAACTGGATCAAAAAATCCGAATCTCTAAATTTTGGAGCTAAATGCTCAGATAAAAGCAAGCGATCGATAGGGGTTACAAAAATAATCGATTTATCGATAATTCTGATATTTTTTAATGAAAATCGTTTTTTTAAGATAATGTATTAATCGATTTTAAAGGAAATACAAAAAAAGTAGATTTATTCAAAATAATCGATTTATCGTTTAATCGGTTTTTTAATTATTTGATTATTTTTGATTTTTCAAAGATATTATATGAAAATAATCGATTGAATATAATCGGTTATTTTACATAATCGATATTTTGGTTATTTTTTTAAAATTATCGATTTATTGGATAATCAACTTTTTAATAATCAATTATTTTCGATAATCGAATAATCAATTTCAAAGGAAATATGAAAAAAGGATTATTAGAAAATAATAGATAATTCGTTTTATTTTTTGGAAAATCGATTTATCATAGAATCGGCTTCATAATTAATTGGTTATTTTCGATTAGGCGATTATTTTGGAATTATTGATTAGTTTTGGTATTTCAAAGATAATCGAATTATCGATTTTAAAGGAAATACAATAAAAATAGATTATTGATAATAATCGATTGATCGAAAATAATCGATTATTTAAAATAATCGATCATTCTGTTTTTTTTTGAAAATCGATTTGTCAGTTAATCGACTTTTTAATTAATCGATTATTTTTGAAATACAATAAAATAGATTATTCGTAATAATCGATTTATCATAGAATCGGCTTCTTAATTAATTGATTATTTTGGAATTATCGATTATTTTCGGTATTTCAAAGATAATCGAATTAACGATTTTAAAGGAAATACAATAAAAATAGATTATTGATAATCGATTGATCGAAAATAATTAATTATTTAAAATAATCGATCATTCTGTTTTTTTTTAAATCAATTTATCAGTTAATCGACTTTTTAATTAATCGATTATTTTTGATTAATCGATTATTTTCGATTTTTCAAAGATTATCGAATAATCTGTTTCCATGGACAAAAAAAATGGTTTATTTGAAAATAATCGATTATTTAAAATAAACGATAATTCTATTTATATTATATTTTGTAAACACTGATTTATCGGTTAATTGGCTTTTTAATTAATCGATTATTTTTGATTTTTCAAAGATAATCAAGTAGTCGATTTTAAAGGAAATGACAAAAAATATATTGTTTGAAAATAATCGATTGATCGAAAATAATCGATTATTTTCAATGATCGATAATTTATTTCGATAATCACCCATCCCTAGCGACCAAATGACTTTTAATAGATTTAAATTTTAAAATGTTATCTGGTTTCAGACATATGCATTTCTAGAGTTTTATGTGACTCATCCTTTATAATAATTAATATTCTTAAAGAAAGAAGCCTTAATATACTTTTTTCTGAGGTTACAATACAAAACAGCATTTTCTCATTTTGACTAATTTTTAATAATATGTAATAGCCGTAGAAAAAATATAATGTTCAACTCATAAGGGTAGATTTGCAGTATTAGCCTGCGCACATGCTATTTTTATAATACTCGTAGACAATGAGTAACATTTTTGCTCTATTAACAATATATTCTATTTCAACATTTTACTGTAATCTCTTGCAGAAAAGTCCGTAGTAAATAAACGCTAACGAAATATTCTATAAAAGGTCTTCTCTTTACATAAAATGTCGTGGCATCTGTTTGATATTAAAAAATCACGTTAATTTTATTTCATAATACAAAATTCGATTAAACACCTTTTAAATAAACCTAATAGTTCATTAAGATGCTAATAAACAAAGTCCGGTCCCTGTCACAGAGTTCGGGTCGCCGCGTGTCGCCGCCCAGTTCCCCCACTCCGTTAACCCTTCTTTAGAAATTGGCAACATTTGCGCAGGTTTAAAACCGGTGTATGTTATATCTCTGGTCTCTTTTATCTAAGTGAGAACATTATATGCCTCAAACAAACTGCCCAAAGAAGATGAACTATAACTTAATATTTTTTCTACACCCACATAAATATTAACTTATCTACGCACAAACTACAAAACGAAAAAGTATGTTATTGTGTTCAACTGTGAACGAATATATTTCATATCCATTCTAGGTAGTGAGAACACTGCAAAAAAAATGAAATCCACCAATCACAGACTAATGCTTGAGCATGACAATAAAGAAGTGTTAGTGTTCCACAAGTGGTCCACAAAAAATGTTTTTAAAGTAGGCCATGACCGACAAAGACAGAGATACGAGTAATGTCGGTGATAACTACAGGCAGTTTTAAATGGTATATATCATCGGCCTCATATGAAAAGGGCATAAGTCCACAAATGACGAAGATTGAGATTTTTATGCCATCTATTAGACTAACGTGTTTTCTATCCAATAAACTGCTCAGTTCACGCAACCTTCCATGCGCCACCTACTTCAATAAAACCATATAAGTAGCACCCCCTATTTGTCATACATAATTGAAAAGCTAGTAAAAAATCTATTCAACAATATACGTTTTATCCTATTCGTTTAACCCTCTTTCTTTTAATTATGCTCATGTAGGATTGTCAATTGATCTTCTATTTTTTCAATTGTACAAATTAAAATTATATTTAAAAAGAAAATGATATGTTTATCTCAATTAAATATTAAATATTTGTTGTCTATGTGTAAAAAATAAATTGTTTTTGTTAGGTTTTATTTTCATTCATCGCTCATATGTTACAACCATTGTTTGTCACTCATTCTAAATGTTTAATATAACAATGTATATTAAGTAAACCATGTATAAATATTTCCCGATAGATTATTATAATAGTTAATCAACTAACCATTCCAGGTTTTTCACCTCCAAAAAATGGAGTCCCTCTTTGGCCAAGTTCGTTTTCCAAATCTTGAAGAGAGTCTACTAACAATTTAGCCCATTCTTCAGGAGTTGTATTGTCATCTTTAGATAACATAAGTTTAAAGAAAAGACCTCGTGCTGGTTCCGCCTTTTGGATTAATTCTTGATCTCTTTTCTTAGCGTCAGGATCAGTAGGATATAAGGCAGGCTCAGGATATTTATCATTTAGATACTCAGCAATATCAAGACTTTCTGAAATTATTTTTGCTCCATCAACCAAACAAGGCACCAAACCTAAAATACAATTCAGTAAATCAACAAATTGTATAATACTAACAAGAATTATTTTACTTAAAAAAAAACAACATTAAAATTACCTTTTTCATTAATTTTAGTATACCATTCAGGTTTTTGTCTCAAATTAATATTTATAATTTCATGTGGAATATTTTTTGCATTTAAAACCAATCTAGCCCTTTGAGCAAAGGGACAAAATTTCATGGAATACAGTCTTAAAAGACCTTCAGTTTTTGGAGGAAACTCAGAACCTAAAATAAATATTTATTTAAAAAATATAACAGTTTTTCGTTAATAAATAGAACTTTTTATGAATTGTCTTTCACTAAACTAAGCTCGATGAACTATGGATGGACATCAAGTGATGTTTATAATAATAATAATAATAATAGTAATAATAATAATAATAATAATAATAATAATAATAATAATAATAATAATAATAATAATAATAATAATAATAATAATAATAATAATAATAATAATAATAAAAAATGGGGGTATAATATTATAAAATAATATAGAAAATTGAACAAACTATAAAACTGCAAAAGCATAAGCTTGTTTGATAAATACGAGAATAAATTGTTATATACATAATATACAATATGAACATTTAAAATAAAGTAAAATAAAAATTAACAATTGAAAATTAAAGTTTATGATTTAAAGTTTGGATTAAAGATTTAAGATTTTACATATTTTTTTTCTTTTTCTTTTCTTTTTTTTTTCTTTTTTTTTTGTAGACAAAAGTAGATTAGAATAAAATATTGAATTCAGTTGAGTTGTGGTACAAAGTACAAAGTATAAAGAGGTACATAATTTTAGGATATTTGTTAATGTTTAGATAGCTATTATTTTTAATTTTTTCTTCCTAAAGTAATTATTCCAACAGATTTGTAATGATTTTTATACCACTCTCTGAGACATATTTGTTTAATTTTTTTTTAAATTTGTAATTGTTGTTTATTTCTTTTCTCGAAGACTCCTAGATATTTAACTGCATTCACTGCATTTATTTCACAGGGATTGTTAATGGCATTTATCTTGAGTTGGCTGAATGTGGGTGCAGTCAGATTATTACAATAAAATGGCAAATAGCAAGTCTTTTCAACATTTAAAGTTAATATTTTATATTTTAGCCATTTATGTATTTTTAGAAAATCTGATTCAGCTGTTTCTTTAAGTTCTAGCCAAGTATTCGCACTATATAAAATGATGGTATCGTCAGCAAAACCGATAATATTACCCCTAGTGTCGATGTTAAATAAATTGTTAATATAGATGTTGAACAGAATGGGACCGAGGACACTTCCTTGGGGTACACCAAATTTGATGGGCAATTTTTTACTATAAATTTAATTAATTCTCACAACCTGGGATCTGTCTTCTAGGTAACTTTTGAACAGGTTGTTACTGACGCCACGCACTCCTATTTCTTCAAGAGAATCTAATAGCAACTGATGACTCACTGTGTCAAAAGCCTTCGAAAGGTCGAGAAATAATCCCAGACAAGGTTTACTAGTATCTAGCGCATAATGTATTTTCTCGGTGACAAAATAGCATCTTCAGTTGAAACGTTTTTTTTTAAATCCAAACTGATACTCAGACAAAATATTGTATTTGGTAAGGAATGAATGCAGTCGTGATTCTATGACCTTTTCGAAGACCTTTGACAGTGTAGTTATCAATGAAATTGGCCTGTAGTTGGTTACAGAAGTTTCATCTCCTTTTTTATGAATTGGTGTTACAACACTGTTTTTGAAACAAAATGGCCATTTTCCATATTCCATACATGTATTAAATATGAAACTTAATGGTGATATTATAAAAATTGATATTCTCTTTAAAGTTTCCGCTCGAATCCCGTCACAACCTGGAGATTTACTCAATTTAAGTTTTTTTTATTATAGTTTCAAGTTCCTGAGGATTTGTAGGTAAAAAGACAATGCTATTTTGTTGGTGTTGTCTTTGGGGAATGTAAGAAGGATCTCTCAATATATTTGCAGCTAATTTCTGCAAATGTTTTATTGAATTCATTAGCAATTTGTTTTTCATCAGTTATAAGGTTACCTAGATGGTCTTTTACTTTTTTAATTTTTTTTTGTTGCATAGCACTACTTATTTCATTAATGATGTTCCACAGTTCTTTGGAACTTGACTGATTTTGTGTTATTATTTTTTGATAATAGTCATATTTACGGTTTTTAATTAAATTATTTATTTTATTTCTGTATATATTGTACTGACGTTTTAGAGCTTCATTATGTGGCTCTTTGCATACTGATTTAAACATTTTACTTTTTGTTTCTATGGATTTTAAGAGCCCATTTGTTACCCAGGGATATATTTTTGTATTTTTTCTGTTCATTTTTATCTTATTTGTGCAGTTTTTTAAGTTGGAGGTCATGATATTTACAAAATTTTCTGTTGCACAGTCAATGTTGGGAGCCATGTAAACGAAAAACAATCTTCGTTACGGAAGGCTGTACTGAGTTTTTTGTATTATTTTTGAGCATTATTTGAATAGCTGTAGTGTATTGATCCGTTATGGATGTTTTGATTATAAATGGTAATACATAGTCTTTAGCTAATTCTGTTTTAAATTTAATGAATATATGGTCAGTACAACTTTTTGTATTTTGTTGTACTCTAGTTGCACTATTGACTGTTGACACATAATCAAATTCATTCATCACACTTAAGTATTCGTTTGAATTAATGTTGCCATCGTCTAACAAATCTATGTTCAAATCACCCAAATATAAGTCATATTGCAGGAGGTTATTTGTATTAAGTGGCTCTAGATAGTCATAAAGGTTATTAACAAATTCAACCACGTTTAGTGACGGAGATCTGTAATATGCAGCTATACCGATGATTTGTTCAGTATTATTCAATTGAATCGTTACTCGTAATGCATTTGTAAAACCCAACTTTATAATAGAGTGTTTGATGTGAGTTTTTAAAGAAACCTTCAAAAGGGAAAAGTTTTGCATTTAAGAATCTGGAAAACTATAGGAGAGATCAATTCAAGGAGTCTATTTAATCTCAGACTTTTGATTTTTTTCCCCACTTCACTCGCTATTGGTGAAACTAGATTGGAGCGGTTTTTAAGCATATTTTCGTAAGTGACCTCTAGTCCAGTAACTGAAGGACTGAAAAGATCGAAAGCTGTAAAAAAATCGCTGATGAGTTCCCACGTAGCTCAATTTGTAGGTCATCGCAGGTGTTTTTAAATGAGAAAAACCTTAACACGTTTTTGGTACCGGAAGGGGCTGAAAATGGACCCCCTAAACTCTGAAAAACGGGTTTACCGCTAATATCTGGCTAAATATGCCAATTAGAGAATTTTTGTTCGGACAAAAAATGAAGATCAGCTCATTCTCTACAAAAATGATCCCACCAATTTTGTCGCAATGCCAATATTTTTTGCAAAATCAGACTTCAAAAAATCCATAATTTTCATATTGAATAGATACGGTAGTTTCTTGTTCTGTGCAATTTGAGTTGCAAATTTACCGGAAAATTGCAAACACTTATTTTTCCTTGTGCCAAGGTCTTGAATCCCGTTGTTTTGGCTAAAAGCAAATGACAACTTTTAGAGCGTGATGAATATTCACTATACAACCATTCTAAACATTTTTCGCATTTTTGCGATTTTTTTGCAAACTTTTTTCGGAATAATATGGGTGCAGGATACGCAAGTCTTTGAAAAATTACATTTATTGTTAAAGTACCAAAAACTGAACAACAGTTTACTTATTTATTTTATTATCATTCGGTAATCCATATGAACCATTGTCACTTCACTTCCCTTTACTTTTTAAACACTACCAATAACCGAATAATATTTTTGTTACTTTCAGATCATGTAACTGGTTAATAATGATAAAATACCTCCAATTTTGGTCAACTCTGCCATGGTGTATATTTCTTCCCCAGTTTCCATAATATAAGCAACAATTCTCTCAATCTGTGCTAAAATATCTGAGTCCTTGGGCCGTCCCTTCGGTTTAGCCTTACCAGAAGCTATTTTAGACCATTGATAAAATGCCAGACAACTGTGAGGTCGATCACAGAAATTATTTCTAGCGTCGCTTTATACTTTTCTATATCAATATAAGCTGTGATCTGATTCAGAAGTGAGGTTTTGAATGCTGTGTTCGAAACAAGTACGATGGTACGCTTCTTTACCAAACTGCTCTTTCATTTCTCCTTTTCTATCGAAGCAGGTAACTGAGAGAACAAACAATTGTTTTTGAAGTTAAAGCCATTATGGGAGCGCTTCTTTTGTCTCTTCGGGCTCGTTAAATGGTCCATCCGTCTTAAAGAGTGCTTGTCAAACTCGTTGTACGCGAACTTACCTTGATATTTAATAATATAGGTAGCGGTCCCTACACTTGCTGTGGATTCGAACAGAGGGTTATTTTTGGAGAAATAGGTGGAAATTATCCAATGAGGTTGAATACTATGGAGATGACATGCCAAAAAAAACGACACCCCTTCCCCCTCTCTTAGTGGTCATGTCATAGTTGTCAAAGAGCTGTCAGAACTTTGTTCAAATTTAAATATTTCGACGTTATTTCTATCTTAATAAGTGTTTTTTTTTATTAATTTGTATAAAAAGCATGACTAAGTGAGCCAAAATTAATTGTAAAAACTCTTCAGTGAAAGAGCGTAAGAAAATATCTAATTAAAGTTTTCATAAGTAAGTATAAGGAGTGTACTTAGAATTTTTTTTAGAATGCTTAACTTTTTTTATTATAGGTTTCCAAAAGACCCACAATATCTTAAAATTTGGTCTAAACTTGTTGGGAAAAGACCAATTTGAGCCTAAACCGAATAGCATGTTGTGCTCTATTCACTTCAAGGAAGAATTTTTTGATCAGAGTGAGTTTAGGGTCAGATTGAAGAAGAATGCTGTTCCGACAATAAATGAATGTTTAGTTATTATACACTTTATTTACAATAAAACTTAAATAACTAACTTAATAAATAACATTGGGTTGACTAACTTTATAATAAAGACAAATTATATTAAAACTTAGATAACTATAATAAAACTTAAATAACTAACTTTATAATTAAACTATAATTTAGAATAAAATTTCAAGTATTTAAAAGCAGTTTTTATTAGATCCTAATTTCCTATTATTATACCGTTTTGATAATGAATATACTGTATAATAATAAATACTGGTGATGTATTTTTATTATTTAATTAGATTTGTGGCCATCACTCACTGCT